ATAAAGTGATGAAAGTGTTGTTTCTTTTGATTTTTTTCGCTAATTCTAAGAGGCACATTTTCACATATCTTCACATCTCTGAAACCAAGGTCCATTCTTGCAATGGACGGAATGTTTATGCTTCCCCCAAATTCATATATTGAAACCTCATGCGCAAGGTGACGGTATCAGGAAGCAGGGCCTTTGGGAGGAGCTTAGGTTACAAGACCTCACCAAGGAGATCAGCGCTGCCAAGAAAGAGACCCCACGGAGCTCCTAGCCCTTTTGCCAAGTGCAGTTACAGCTGGAAGGCACTGTCTATGAATCAGAGAGCAGACTCCCACCATACACTGATCTGGCACCTTGATCTTGGACTCTGGACATGTGGGGAATAAATGTTATTTATGATGGTATTTTGTTATAACAGCCCAAGCAGACTAAGACAATACTGCAATCCATGTTTAAATACACTCCATACTTTAACTGACAATGTCTTGTCTTACGTACTGTCTCTTAGTATTACATAAAATAATGATGAATCTTATAATTAGAGGTGTCCGATATTTAACAAAATATGACATTATCGACATTCATGCTATAGTTTGCCTCTGATAGATGCCCCAAAACCTTTCCACGAATCAACTATCCTATTTGATATGGAATCTAAAAGCAAGAACAAAAACAGAACAAATGATAGCATAACTAAATAGAAACAGAGTTGTAGATACAGAGAAAAACAGGTGGTTGCCAGAGGGGAGGGGGTTTAGGGGAAGAGATGAATAGGTGAGGGAGATTAAGAGACACAAATGTCAAGTTACAAAATAACTGAGTCAAAGGTATGAAATGTACAGTGTGGGGAATACAGTCAATGATTTTGTAGTAGCTTTGACAGATGGCAACTAGACTTATGAGGGTGATGATTTTGAACTGTATAGAAATGTTGAATCATTATGTTGTATACCAGGAACTAACTTAGTGTTGAAGTCAATTATACATCAAAAACAAACACACAAAACTCATAGGAAAAGACATCAGATTCGTGGTGACCAGAGGTGGGAGAAGGAGGAATAGGATGAAGGGGATTGAAAGGTACAGAGTTCTAATTATAAGATTAATAAGTCCTAGGGATGTAATCTACAACATGATAAAGATAATTAACACTGCTGTATATTATATATGAAAGTTGTTATGAGAGTAAATCCTAAGAGTTCCCATCACTAGGGTAATTTTTTTTCTACTTTTTTAATGTTGCATCTGTACGAAATGATGGATGTTCATTAAACTTACTGTGGTCATGATTTCATGATGTATTAAGTCAAATCATTATGCTTTACCCCTTAAACTTATACAGTTCTGTATGTCCATTACATCTCAATTAAACCGAAAGGGGAAAAAAAAGAATCAAATAGTCTATCTGTCAACCCTAAGAGTTTGCCTCTACAGCCCTCAGAGTTTCCTGGATGCCTTTAGTAACTCCCTATTCATCTTAAATATATCCAGACCTTTTTGGAAATTATTGGTCTTCTTATTTCCACATCCCCTAGTTACAGTGGTTAGTACAGCACTTAATCTTACTTGTCCTCACTTTCCATTACCATCTCCCCACCTCCACCAAGTTTTAAGTAATGGGAAGAACTCTGCAATGCTTTGGAAGGAATAATTTTAGTTCTAGTCTGGTTTTGTCACTAATTAGCTACATGTCTAATCTCTGTCATCTGCAAAATGGGGATGCCAACATTTTCCTCACAGTTATGCAAGGTCGAATGAGATCATATATGTGGACATCCTATAAAATGACTGAATTCTGGAATCTGATGAACAGAGGAGGCCTTCCTTCCCCTCTGTAATTTTAACCAATCTTGGACAGCTTCCAAAGACAACACTTCAGAAGAAAGGGTGTTTCATTTAAGGTGCATTTGATTATTTCCTATATTCACCACTTGATCACTGGAATGATTTCTGTTCTCCAAAGATCTTTAAGACCTGGGAAACAAAGTGACTGTTACTTCTGACTGCACCCAGTTTCCAGTAGGAATGTGAACTCCACTGCTTTAAATGTCAGTGTCCCCTTGACTTTGCCTTCTGGCGGGAACTACTTCCTTTGCCAGGGCCTGCTAGGGGAACTGTTTTCAAGACAGTGCAAGCTTTAACTTGAAATTGTGAGTTTCTTTCAATGTCACCACAGACAAGCTCCGTTTTACATTTGGTGATAAGTAATCACTAGCATCCGGGTTCCACATTCCACTAGCGGTTGGTTGAATCCGAGGATGCAGAACCTGTGAATATGGGGGAGGGAGAAATGGAAGGGGTAACTGCCATTTTACATAAGGGACTTGAGTATCTCGGAGTTTGGTATTTACAGGGGAGGTGGGGAGGAGGGTCCTGGAACCAATTCCCCGCCCCCCCCCCATACTGAGGGATGACTGTATTCGAGGTTTCCTCTTTTTAACTTCGCACTTTCCCCTACTTTGCATACTGTTAAAACTGAGTTTGTCTTTTACTTGGCTTTAGGCTTAAATTATGAAGTGGGAGTGGGGTGGGCAATAGGACATGACCTAGCAGATATTTAGGGCCACTTGGTGCACTATTTACACACATCACCTCATTTCTAGAAACAACTCACGGCCATCTGAGAGAGTTTAGTATTCCATATTTGAAATGAGGACACTGAGGCGATTTGTCCAAGATCATAGAATCAGAACTGGACCCAAACCCCCTGAGCACAGACCCCCTAACTTTTTGCTTGGATTTTAGCTTTTGATTTTTGTCTGAGTATAAAGGTGGAAAAGGGTGGGGGAAAGTATTTGAGCAAGCATTTGGCATAATATTTTTAATCCTCTTAAGCCGGAGGTCATCTTCTTCTACTTTCTGTATCTGGAAATGAACTTGGTGGTGGATCATTTTCCTTTACATTTTCCTGGAACAAGTCCAGGTTCTTAGGGCATTACAGAACAAGTCTCTAGCTAAAGGCATTCCATAAAGCAGACAGCCTTCGTGAACACGTGGGAGATCAATTACGTGAATCAGCTAGTCCAAAGCTGCTAATAAAACCTGCAACACAGGTAAAGGCAGAGGACATAATTTGCTGACAAAGTTATTTAGCACCAACTACCAAGAACTAAAAATACAAAAAATAAAGTATATATTATTTAATTAAATTGCAAAAAGTAAGAAAGACTAACTCAAAGAGGAAAACAAAAATGTCTCCAAGTCTGAGATTTATTACTATAAATAATCACAAAGAAAGGATTTCTTTTTGATTTTAGAGTGCTTTTTCCTTGGACAGTGAGAAAAGATTGTATTGTCCATTTGTCACATTTCATCTGTGATTACAGTTCATAAGATACAATTCTTATAATGTATTCAATCTTTGTCATTTCACATCTATTTTACTTATTTTTTATATTTGATAATTCCATTGTTTTATTACTTTTGCAACAAAGCTTTTTTCCCCCTCTCTCTCTTTTGTTACTTTTCTCTCTGAAGAGGAAAGGAAATTCCTCTTTGAGAAACGTTTATACGAGAAAGGAAAAAAATTAGCTCTGAAGTTACTTAAATTTCTCAGATTCACAGATACAGAAACTTTATATTCCTGGTTTCTCACAAAAACCATTAAATAGTTTAAATGATTTAAGAATGTAACATCAAATGAAACTTCCAGGATGATTTTTGGTTAACAAAAAGGGCGAGGTGCATATAATATATTTGGAGAGAATGGTGGAAGAGAATGTCTATGGAAAGTTAGGCAGGCACATGATTAAAGTGAAAGCTATTTCTAAAGTATCATTTCCCCAAAGAAATTCTGTTTTAACAGAAAGCAGAGCACTGTTTGTATTCTATGTATCCTTTCTTCCACGTTCATTAATTGCCTCGTCAGCGAAGCAAAGTGTCATTTTCCCGGGGCAGGAAAGTCCCATCATAAAATGAGGCGGAAAGGAAGGATGTTTCTTCGATCTTATCTCTCGATTTTGTGGCCCGGGACGTGGGGGTGGGGCGGGTCGTGTGGAACTGGTGTCCCAGGAGAAGCACAGCATGGGTTTCCTGGGCGAAGTCAGGGTGACCCCCGCGCATCGTGCGGCTGAATCCGCGTGTGCACATCAGCTCGGCTTCTGGCTTTAGAGTCAAAAGTGCCCACCGGCTAACGTGTCCGCCGACGCCAGGAAACCGAGCTTGGAGCCAGGGGATGTGGCCGCCCTGGCGGCGCTGCTGGCGGGCCCCGCCGCTCGCTGGGCCGCTGGGATCCCGGCGCACCTGCTTTCCCC